AAAAAAAAAAAAAAAATCAAAGGGATGCTTTGTTTCATTCGCTTTCAACAACCTGCATCATAGATGGGTTAAAGGACTTTTAGAGCCCGGTGGTGTGATTCACTACCCAGAAAACAACTGGATGACTACGTTCTGAAAGGCCAGCCAGCGAGATAAGGAGTTAATGATTTGCATCTTCCAGAGAATTTGGGTGTTTTTGAAGAAGCACTTGCTCCAGTTCATTCGCAGACACTTTGTAAAAAAGGGCTGGGATAAGTGGGGTGGGAAGTGGGTAAGTGAGTTTTATCAGATGTTTCTCCACCGCTCCTCTCTGCTGCTGTAAAATATTTATGGATGTGGTTTAGGAGTGGTTGCTTGGGTTTGTGATGAAATGGTCTTTTCATAAGGAGGGTATGACCTCTGTTCAGGCAGCGGAAAGAAAATAAGGCCAGCGTGTCTTACAAGCTCATAAACTCTGTTATGATAAGCCACCAAAACTAACCCCTGTCTGATCACTATATGTTCCTGCTGTCATCTCGTCATGTTTGCTGAGTGAAAATTAGGATTAAACTTCTGCAAGTGTTTAGAGACCCGACACACTAAAACCACAAGATATTTAAATCTGGAAGACAAAAATAACAATATTATTAAGTTGGACTGGAGGCATTGCATGACAGCTACAGTATATTTTTGCATCCTGTTTTCTTCTCAGATGGCAACAAAATAGATGATTTCATGTTTTTCACAGTTAACTGTTAATAGACTCAGGAAAAACAAAAAAACAAGATAAGCCACAACACATAAGCGAGATTTAAACAGAGACAACTGGCGCTGGTATTTATAACCTAGTATAAAATGCAAAACACTGTATACAAGCGTTTTAACCTTGTCACATCACACTGTACCTGCGATTATAAGACAGACAACTTGACACAACGACTACGATAGCATCACTGCTCCTGTGTGGCAGGAGGTCTAATTTTGCCCTACACAGTTAGTTGCATAATTAGAGATGTCTATTTAACAGCGGTCACCATGTTGACACACTCATGTTTACACAGTACACATCCTTTTTAAACCAGAGAACCATCAAAAACACAAAGAGGGTGAAAACGTATCTTGTCATCTGACAGTACAGTTTGACAAAGTACCTGTAGGGTTATGATTTGCATCGAGTTGTTTCAAACCTAAACATCAACTAACAGGGTTTGCTGGTAAAAAAAAAAAAAAAAGGATATCATCCTTCAACAAGGGACAGAAATAAAGGATATATGAAAAAAAAATCCAGTATAAAATGAAATAATAGCTTTGTGCCCATAAAAACAGGGTAAACCTTTTCAAATATAAAGAAATTCATGAAAACAATAGGTGCTACACCTACTGTATAGTCCTGTGATAAGACATTTGAAATAAATGTGTTGGACATTTTCATTTGACATTTGTAGCTCTCTGGTTTTACGCTTGACTGAACATGCAAATGGTTATCAGTGGAAAGATTATGGAGAAATAACTTTATTAAAATCTCAAACCCGTTCCCTTCATTCAGTGCTCAGTGTTCACCTGTTTGAATCCCATTTCCTGTTAATGTACTGTACAGATGAGGACACAATTTACTAATCTTAATAACTGCACAGCAGTAGGCTCCATAATCCTTTTTCTTCACAGTGGAAAAGTAACGGTTCAGGTAAAAAGGCTGCATGGATGTTATGTTTTTTTTTTTATCACTGTAAATTGCTTCTAGTTCAGTAAATGACTCAATTCAAATCTGGGTTCCTTAGTTGAAAAAAAATGGTTTTGAGGCAATCATACTTCATGATGGTAAACCTCACTCTTTCACAGGTTAAATGGCAGAATAGATTTTCTTCGCTTCATAAAACACTAAATATAATAACAAATCTTATTTCACTTCCCTGACAAGTCACAACAGTTCAAAAGCAAACAAAACAAGAACAACAATAAATATCGATACCTATATAAATGTACACAGCAAAAACAAATACCTTGATCACACACTACAAAAAACAACTTAGTGAAAGAGAAGGGGTGATGCACAGACTCATTGCTGAACATGACTGTTATCAGTCATCCTGAATGCACATGTTCTGAAACTTGTGAGGTAAACCATCTCGTTGGTCATGTTATCAGCAATAACACTGAAATAACCAAACTTGTCCAGAAACAGGGGGGGGGGGGGTTCCTAGAATGAACAAATAACAGCTTCAGACCACGAGCAGATTAACAAACGATGTCACACAACTATGTCGCTGGAGCTGAATAACGAGGCCAGGAGGACCAAGATTTCATGATTAGAGTAAAGAGTGCAGTTACCAACGGTGTCATCACCCGCTTCGGCCCGGAAATCAAACAAAGAGTGAAAGTCTTATCCAAGAAATAGCGAACATCATAGTTACCTCGTCACATACCTACACAGCACACCACACGCTAGTTCACGGTTACACACACGTGCCTAGTCACTAGAGAAGAAACAAAGCTATTCAGTAGTTAAGCCACTTTTGGTACAATTGCAAAATAGAGAGATACTGTATATCAAACAGATTTCGCTATACCTTTTTTTTTAAACAGGTCGTTACAAACAATGCAAAGATAATTGTCTTTATAAAACTCCAGATTCTACCGTACATAGACAATGCTTTTTTGAGTATAGAACACCACATAGGACTACTTTTATGGCAAAGCTTGTGTGGGATGACAGCTCATTTGTGTGACTGGAAGTTCAGAGAAATACCTTTTTTGTTTGTTTGTGCTGCACCGTCAGTAATCACAGGTTGCTCTTGCAAAATGAGCTTTGTGGTTGAAAGCGAGAGAGATGCAACGGAGACTGTAAACACGTTGCTGTAGGTGTAGTAATGATTTCATATTCATATCGTAATCATAAGAACCAATTTATATCAAACAGACATGGGTTCTCCCTTATTACAGAATATTAACCTTCCCAAAAAGTGTGCCATAAATCTAGACAAATAAAGACTTCTACGTAAGTAATTGAACTTCCAAATCACAAAAATGGCTGTTATCATTATTATTATTAATCCTGATGGCTATTACACAGCTCATATAACAACACATGGCGAATGGCAAATGTTAAATGAGTCCTGATTGGTCAATGTATCCCAACAAGCGCAGGTATAAGCAACCACCTCCCCTCAGTCCCCACTGTCCTTCCACAGTTTCTCATGTCCTCTTGACTTCTTCTTGATGCATATCATTAGGAGACCAAGGCACTTGCCCGTCCAAATGTCCCACTATTCTGAGAGGAAATCCTCTTCATCTAAATTCAGCTTAAACAGCCATTTTCCTGCAAACTCTTACAAACTGAGACTTTTAATACCGTCATCTCCTTCTTTCTACAGTATGTTGCTTTTTCATTTTTTTTTTTTTTGGTAAATATCTATTGTCTTTTCTCTCCTCTTTCAGTTAAATCCAGTAAAGTACTGTATGTAAATACGGAAACCAGTCGTAATTGAAAAAGAATGGAAGGACAGACAAATAACACAGATAAAAGAGAGAGCGAGAGAAAGAGAGTCGGACATATAGAAAGTGAAGAGACAGTAGAAAAAATACAGCTAACTAAATATAGCGATACCAAAACGAACACGCGTCACAGAATTTCACAGAATTCCTGATATATAACAATTCACACACAGAGAATACACTTTGGACCTCATGTGAATGACAACACAGTACAAAAACAGTAGAAATACAGTTACCACCATTATGTAATATATATTTTTCTATAGTACTTATTCTGAAAAAGTTCTTGGCTAGGTAGAGCAAGATGGAACGTCTCTGCAGCCACTGAAATCAGCAGGTCACATGAAATCTTGTGTATTCTTTTGGAGCTCAAGGAACTTGTGAAATGTAGGTTTTAGAATATGTTTGTGTAGCTGATTTAAATCATCATCAAAATTAAATCATTTAATAAACACTTGATTCAGCATTTACAGATATTTAGATCCACCACCAGTAAAACCTGACACTGAACATTTGAGTGGTTTAAATGGAGGATGAACAAAAATTGCATGATTCTTCCAAAGAAATTGGGGCTTTTAGTTCTTTTTTCACATTAACTTCTCAGATTCCCTGACTGTACCAGGTTTTCAGTGACCATAGGAACCCTGTCTATCTGTGCTGTGCTAAATGAGCATTCGCTGACCAAGGGCCTTGCATCTGTGTCGTCTCAATAACCGTCCTCTGCATCCATCCTTTCCTTCATCTGCACTGATCTGAGACAGGTGACGGGAACGTGCTGAGGCGAAGTGATTGAGATTGCCCAGCTGTTTTGGAGTCAATGCAGGGGGAGGAGAGGGGGACGACGGAGAAGAAGAATTACTTTGATGCAGCTGAACTCCTTCCCGATACACCCTCATCTATCTTTCCCTCCCTCAAGACCGTGCATCTGTTTTTGACTTCACTATTGTAATTACACTCGTCGCTGTTGCCACCTTCCCCGGTATCAGCGGGCCGATGACTGATGACGGCACCCCTCCTCCGCCCCCTCCGGCCCTGACCCCGACCCCTACAGTGGGGCTCCGCGCCACAGTCCTCGCAAAGGTCTGCAAGGCCTCGTACTTGGACCTCAGAGCGTCCAGTTCAACGCGCATGGAAGCATTCTCATTGGCCAGTTTGTCCACCTCCTGCTGCAGCTGGGCCTTCTGCTTCTCCAGCTCCTCCTTCTGGGTGACCCTCTTCACCCGGCAGCTGGCGGCGTAGCCCCGGTTCTTCAGGGTGCGCCGCCGCTGTTTCAGCTGCAGGATCTCCTCTTTGGTGAGACCCCGGAGGTGCTGGTTCAGCTCCCGCACCGACATGGTCACCAGCTCATCGTCTGTGAGGCTGGTGCCATTCTCCCCCGGCTCACGCTTCACCTGGAAGAAACAGGAGGTGGAGTGAGGAAAAACAGGCCAACATATCAGAAACAGATTCTTCAGTTTTAAATGTGCACTCTATTACCTTCAAGGCTTTATTTCCTTTGTTAGTCGTCGTCATGCCACAATTGCCTTGCTCTTCTGAACACACCTGCGGAGAAGCAGGAAGAGTACAGAACATAAGCAGAGAAACATTACAAAGAAATACCCTCCTTTGTTTATGTTCCTTAAAAAAATCAATATAATCATATTAACTAAAGATCAATACCTGGTGTGCTGATAGGGCACTGTTGTGTGAGCATGTTACAGTGTTATTCATCAGTCTAGTTAGTTGTGTCTCAGAATGTATGAGTGAAAGTGACTAAAACATTTCTTAGAATTTCCCTGACTTCCTGTTTCCTGGTGGTTGCACAGACAGTGCCCACCACCTTTGTGTTGTTGCACTCTTATTGGCTGGCTTCAGACCAACAGTAATGAAATGAGCGTTAAAGGAGGAAGTGGTAAAATCTGTGGGATGAACTCCAGGGGAAAACCAACAGTTAGAGATGACACACACACACACACACACACACACACACACACACACACACACATGCACACACACACACATGCACACACACACACCTCACTAGAGACTGCTGCAAAGATACTGGTGGACAGTTGGAAGACAGACACCGACACCAACTAATAATAAAAAATTCATACTGCACAATGAGTGCAGCAGATAAAACGATGCACCAGCGTGTTAACAAGGGACAAAAGGACTGACAATGTCAACAAAGAGGGAGCATGGTGCAAAAGTGCAAAAGATGAGATCAGTCCTGAGAGCACACAGCTCCACAGACGAGCATCTCAAAGAGATGCTTTGTGTGGTGGTGCATTGGTCTGGCTCTCATCTCTCAGACCTGTGTGTGTGTGTGTGTGTGTGTTCGATAAAGGGCGGCTATTGTTGCTGCTGCTGAGCGATCATCATGCGACCAGTCATGATGACTCAGCAGATTCCTGATTTCACCCCACACACCCCTCCTCCTGCCATGCAAATTTCTGCTCTCCTCTGTCACTTGTTATTCCCCTCCCTCTCTTTTTTTAACTCGCCTCATAACAGTCTTGCTCATCCCACAAATGTGACAGTGTGCTCAAAATATAGATGGAGGCAATGGACTGACAGTTAAATGCTGTTGTCCTCAAACATTTAAGACCTGCCTCACCTGCTGAATTAAACCTGAGGCAGCCTCTTCTCTTCCTTTATACTCTCCTGTGTATTTCATAAAAGGACAAGTAAAAAGAAAACTAGGAAACCAAATTGCGATGATTTGTGCCTTAAGACATTTACAAGTTTTGTGATTTAAAAAAACTCCTTGTTTGGGGAAGTGATGACACTGAAGTGGCGACGTGTCTTGTTCATTCTTATTCTTTTCTGTCACAGGACACATGCCAGTGAGCCTCCCCACAATGCACCTCTGTATGTCTGTGAGGCTGCGTGAGTGTGTGTGCATATGTGTGTGTGTCCAACAGTTATAAATAGCAGTAGATCAAAGCAAAATGTACCAACAAGCATATACAAGTAATCATGCATCCACACAGCACACGTGAAGAGCAGGGCAACTTAAAAAGTCTGTCGTCGACTCGGTGAAAAGATGAAGAGTATGGGAAATCAGCATTGCTACAGTTGCTTTAATAAATCAACCACACTGCTTCCTTCAGAGTGTTTAACTTTAGTACTTCATAGGTCAATAAAAAAATGCTGTTTTATTTAAGTGTGTACATAAAGAGCTTCTTGTAAATACTCGTCTTCAATCCATGTGAACCACGGCGCTCTTGTTTTGTTTGGATGCAGCCTCCCACAGCTGGAGGTGCATCATCGCACAATAGACGGATCAGAGAGAATCAAGTGAGGGTGGCTGCTGGGGTTGGGGGTGGAGAAGAGAGGTGGTGGTGGTGGGGGGGGGGCTGAGAAAAAACAGAGGGGGCAAAAGGAGGTTGTTTTCCTGCCAGGCACTGGTTTATTTCCCCAGTGCCAACCCCAACCCCCCATCTGCATACAAACAAAAAGCATGCCAGCAAACACACACACACACACACACACACACACACATCCCCCTGCCACCGTGCCAGTCGGGCACGATAAAACACACATGCAAAGCGGTTGACTGCAAGTCCGCAAATGTTTAGAGGGCTAAACAATGCGTGATACATGCAGAAATGGAATGCATGCATGAAAAAACAATCACTATATTAGGGATTTTGTTATCTTAGATACAGACAGCTGAAAAACTGAATTACTGCTGGTGCACAAAAGGTGATGCAGCTCTGTACTCATTGTTGGTTTCTGCAAATGTTTCAGTGTCTGTGGTTTGTAGTACATTTGTTAAATGAAGATGAGAAAACAGGATGTACCAGATTTGGTTGTGTACAACTGGATCTGAAGTGAAACCAGCAACTTATCATGATCCCTTAAGAAAAAGATGATATCGGTATATTGCTTTTCTCTTTTTAAATTTAAACTGTCTTTTTAAAACTGCTATTTCAGCGAAATGTTCTATTGTTGCTGTTGTTATTATTATTATAATTGAGTAGAACTGCTTGATAACCAGCTGAACACACACACACACACACACACACCTTGACCCATACCAACTCCTTCCACCAAGTTTCATGGAAATCCATTCAGTTGTTCTTGTGTAATTTTGCTTACAAAAAAACCAACCAACAAACAGATAGGGGTGAAAACATAACCTACTTGCCAGAGGTAATAAATGCCAAAACACCCATTTTTTTTATCTACTGATTAATGATTTGCCTGTAAATTGTCTGTAACATTTGCCCATCACTGTTTGTCAGAGCCAAATGTCTCTTCGATCTTCAAAACTTTTCTTTAGTCCAACCAACTGTCCAAAGCCCAAGGATCTAAAGTACCTGTCAAAGTTTTGTCAAAGGGTCTGGAAACTTTTCTACAGTTTTGCTCGATGAAATGACTGCACTGGTTAACAAAGGGGTTGTCAAAGTCTGAGATTATGGTCCTGAATCAAAGCTTGTAAAGAGATGCCCTCTTACTCCACCGTATAGTTTACTTGCTTAGTTTCACTCATGTTCAGGAGGCCGATATGAATATGATGCCTTTTGATTGACACTCCACGGTTGACCGAAGAGAGCCTAACGTTGCTGTTTAACATGACTTCAAGTTACATCAAATACATAAAGTCCTGTCCTATGTATTTGTTTCTGACTCTAAAACAGTAAAAGTCTGAAAACTACTGTATCAACAACAATCTCTTGAACCAGAGCCACGTATTTAGGCTGTAGTTGTGACAACTAATGTAACAACTTTATATAATACTTTTTACTTTCATTTGAGTTTAGGCCTTGTGTAAGTCACCCAGGTTAAGAATCATCTGCTGAGCAAAGGTATTGCCATTTATCATGGGCACACACACACACACACACACACACACACACACACACACACACACACACACACACACACACACACACACACACACACACACACACACAGAGGTGTCCTTCCCATAATGCTTGCAGGGTGGTCGCTGCAGTGTGGTCAATGCCACAGCCGCTGTTGCTACAACAGACAGCTTTTTTGCCGTGGTAGGCAGTATTTTTATGGAGCAACCGAAAGAACGCTGACGACTCAGGAGCAGAGATGCTTACGGTTACAGTGGAGAAACAACACACACATACACGGAGAGGATGGGACACGGGGACAGGGATGGAAGGAGAGGTGAGAGGCAGTGGAGTTGAATAAAATATGGATTGAAGAGGAGGAAAGAAAGAGAAGGGGGCGAAGAGTTGAGATAGCAAGGTGAAGAACAACTAGGTAAGAGGGAGGGGTGGAGGGCGAGCCGGCGGTGGTGGTGGTGAGGGAGGACTGAAAGAATGCTGACGTCTCCAGAGCTGATTAGCGTTACAGCAGAGACATCACACCCACAGCCCAGAAAAATGCTGAGTATGGAGGGAGGATGGTGCGGGGAGTGCAAATGACAAGGGAGGAAGAAGAGAAGAAAAAGAGAGGCAAGTGAGTAGGGGGGTAAGAGGAGGAGGAGAGAGGTGAGGAAGGAGGGAGGAACACTGATGAGGAAGAACAGGAGGGAGAGGAGAGGGGCAGAGACAGAGGAGGAAGAGGGGGTGGGAAAGCGTTTGGGTGAAAATGCATCCTCAACACATTTGTAAGAGCTTAGCTTGTGTGTCTGTGTGTGTGTGTGAGCGTGGAGGGGGCTGGTGGATGGAGGAATGGATGGAGGGGGATTGGGGTTGGAAAAAAAAAAAAACCCTGAACTCAGCAACGACCACGACTAAAACCTCCAATTAGAAAAGTTCTGAGGCTGATCCAGTGTAATGAAACTACTGCTGACCATCTATCCCTCTCTCTCAACCTTCTGCTCTCTCTCTCTCACACACAAACACACACACACACACACACACACACACACACACACAAGGAAAGCTTCACATCCTGTCATGTTGATAAATCAAGTCCTGAAGAAGGGATAAAAACGAGAGTAATGGCGAGGTGGAGGGTGAACGCAGAGATCATAGGGTTTATAAAGATAGATTAAAGAGCACAAGAAACAACACAGGTCATATCGCTGGACTCTTTCTTCACGGGTGTGTGCAGACAAACAGGATGATGAACTCTGTGTGTGTTTGTGTGGCTGGCCCTCAGACAGCGCTCTAATTAATCTTGTTTGAGAGAACCTTTTGCTCTGGCCACTGCCACCACAGAGAGAGAGAATTTCTTAGAAAGAGACTTGCTACTTAAAAGCTGGTGGCATGCTGCACAGGCACACACACACACACACACACACACAAATAAATAGCCAGATTAGGCGCTACAAAAACGACTTGGGGGCTGGTGTGTGTGGGTGTACACAAGCATAAAAAAGCCAGTGCACAGAGAACGATCAAGAATAGATTGTACGAGTCACAAGTCATTTGTGATGCAAGTCTGTCTATATTGAATAATCCGACCATAACAACTGACTTAACTGCGCCTCCTCCCTCAGGCAACTCTCTGAGCAATAATAGAGAGCACAAAGGATGGCAGCAACAGAGTCAGGCAGTGAAGACACAGCAGGACACAGTGCGGACTTGATGGAGAGGCAAAAAGAGAACAAAATATAAGCAGTGTGAATT